GATCAATATAATGAATATAAGAGTAACTTTTTACATTTTTGATGAAATGCTTTGAAACTCATTTTATTAGGATATATAAGTAACACAGACAAATATGACATGGTCAAAATAGCAAGATCTCACGCGCATGCACGTGCGCTTGGCTCTGATTGGCTGAAACTCAAGTCTCAATATCTTTCTTGTTTTTTGACAAAATCCTTTGAAATTTTGAACTTTGCCATGCATTAGGATATTCTACAATACGATATACAGCAATTTTCATGAAAACACGTGCATGCACGTGCGCTGCAATCTGATTGGCTAAAACTTTTAATAGCTATAACTCCCTTGGTTATCAACCAAACAGGATGGGATTTGGATCATAGATAGATAAAATGAACTTCTACAAGGAGGTATGGTCACCATGCACATGCATACACGTGTGTGTACGTGTGCTGCAATTTGATTGGCTTAAACTTTAAACAGCTATAACTCCCTTGGTTTTCAACCAAACGGGGTGGGATTTAGAACATAGATAGATATGATGAACTTCTACAACAAGGTATGTCACCATGCACATGCATACACGTGCGTGTACGTGCGCTGTATTTTGATTGGCTGAAACTTTAAACAGCTACAACTCCCTTGGTTTTCAACCAAACGGGGTGGGATTTAGAACACAGATAGATGTAATGGACTTCTACAGATATGAAGATATGGTCACCATGCTCATGTATGCACGTGCGTGCACGTGAAATGAGTAAAGTCAAAAATACATTTGAATGAGCGTAGTTTTTAATACGTTTGGATTAAATACTTTGATACTTATAGTATATTAGATATTATGTATAGAATGTGTAGACAAGATTATATGGTCATTACGCACATGCATTCAGATGCGCACGCGTTCAATGCTAAAATTTGAATGAACTTGGCGTTGTTAAAGACTCAAATGCATAGATTTTGTCCTATTTAATAAAGCTTACAGGGAATATGACACCAAAAGGAGTTGGGGAGCGTTTGGGGAACATCTGTAACGGTCCCCGTTACAATTAGCACTAGTTTATTCTTTACGTTTATTTTAAAAACGATTTTTCTTCAACACTAGAAATTTCAGGTCCAGGTTTTAAAAACCAGTACATTGTACATGTAATGAATTTTCTGAAGAGCATGTGTGAACTCGATTTTTTTTCTTGCTAGGCTAGTAAAAAATTAAAATCTAGATTCTCTGTCAAAGTTACACGGCGTGGCTTTCGAGCTTAAGCTGTCGTGACTGATTTGTCAAACGTCCGTGTAATGCTTGGTCTCTGTTGGGATAGCTTAGAGATTCCACTAATGCCAAGATGTATAAATTACCTATTCCACACTTAGCGCTTTGGGTCCCTATTGATTTTACAATTACAATCTTAATGGGAATTCCCTTTACTGTCGGACATTGGGGTTAATTGTTTTCTGAACAGTGACAGTTGGAGATATATTCAAATGATTCCATAAATAGCACACAATGATGCCAACTAAAAGCGTGAATCATGTCATTATGTAATATTAAAGGAAGAAAAATTGCATTTCCGTCCTATTTTGAGATTTTTGTTTGATAGTGTTTCAGTTGTACATCTCAATTAAGTAGAAAGCATCTCTTTTGTGATTCGTATACGGCTAAAACAGTCCAAAGTAGTTTATCAGCTAAAGCCGTCTAATATAAAAGAAATGAAGTCTTAAAGACAGATGTTACAAACAAAAAATGGATGCCTGGATTGGATATATCTTTTGGCTTAATTTCATTGCAAATGATGCAAATAATAAATTTCTAGAATATAAAGAAATTGTAAACCTTCTGTGATGTTCAAAAGTCTGCCCTTCTGAATCCTTATTAATCTATTAAATGCCATTTTTGTGCAAATTTGAATAAAAGATTAAAAACTACGCGGTAAAAGTTATTCATTTTATTCATTTAAACATGGCCCAAGTTGTTCTTGGATTCAAATTCTTGGACAAAAGTTTGTTTGTATCATCTGTCCTTAAAAGATATATACATTCTAAAACAGTCCAAAGTAGTTTATCAGCTAATGTCAGATATATTTAAAAGATGTATATATATTAGTTTTGAAGAACTAATTTACAAATGATATTCCGAAAGTTGTTTCGATATCAATTACGCTGAACTTTTTTAGATTTCCATTCTATGTTCTTATTAAAAAAAATTTGTTTACCCTGAGGATATTGAGATATTTGTAAATAATTTACAAATGATGTAAAGATATGATTTCCACTATGTTCTTATTAAATTTGTGAGGAAGAAAACAGAGTAAGATCATGAATCCTACCTTATTTTGTTGCAATCCAGAAGAAAAAAAATCTTATATTTCAAATAGTTTTTTTAATTGGAAAAAAACGTGAAATTCGGTGACCTCATTGGGAATTCTGTGAGTTTGCATGTCTTGGAATTGTTTAATTCCTTCTTAACTTTACTATAAACATGTTAAACTTATCGTCTGAACATGACTTAGCACTGCTTATTTATCAACAATGTGACTGTGGCATTGACTCGGAGGATCGGCTTCCAGGAAGATTCACGAGGTCTTTGATGATTACTGCCTTTGTATGATACCGTTCTCTGATTGTCATTTCATCATTATTGTTCTTTGTGTATTATTATTCCAACAAGATCAATACGATGACAAAGGACTTTTTTAGAATTCTTAATTTGAAAACTCGAGGTACATGTAGGCAATGAGTTTACAGAATATGACACCTCCAGTTCTGATACGAGTATGATGGTAAAGTCCAAGTTTTGCTTTGGGAAAGCCTAAAACATCTAAGTAGGAGGTGTACAATGGCTAGATAGCATGTAATGGAGATTCTACGAAGATATCATTAAATTATATTCAGTAATATTCATCTATTCATGCATCCTCCCTCGATTTATTAATTTATTTATCTTTTTTCCTGCAAACTGTATCATATATTTAAAAAAATTACACATCATCATATGCGCTGTTATTCAAACTTCAATTCAGTCTTCAATTTTTAGAAATTTAAATGTTGACATAATGAGTTTTGCCAGAATAGCATCCACAGATATATTCCGTCTTAGTATATTGTTTCGGGCTACATATTTTACGTCTTCTTTTAATTATTTACGTGGGGTATGAATTGTATGACATTTATTTCGCTCTTTTCAGAATGTGCCATATCTATTTATGTCCATACTTTTTTCAAACTTTGAAAATAAAATGACATTTGCTACCGATTCTTTCATTGCACACAAAAATTAAAGTACTGCTTGTCCTGAGAGAAGGGGGAGAAGCAACACAACTGCGGTTTTTCGGAACTAACCCCCTAGTACATGGTACCGATAAGAATCGATGATAGTTTTTTTTTGAGTAGGATGTTGGTTTCTTTGAATTGAGTCCTCGTGCGGTACAAATATATATCAAATCTTGATCAGTGATTGGACTATTTCGTGTCCAGAGCGTACAAAGCGAGCGATCACACAAGCCAACTGGGCCAAGAATCCTGCATTCATTGTTATCACTCACACCTACAGAGAAAAGCAACAATGATGTATATTTCATCAAGGGATCGATTTAGTATTTTTATTTTATCATCCTTTGTTTTTCTAGCCGCATTAATTATTGACGCCTGGGGTCTGGATAAGAGTACTATTATGCTTTGTCAGGATAATTCAGTAGTCTGTAGTTCAAACTTAGCTATACATGGTCTACACACAGTTTCTAAAATAGAATGTTATGTATGCGACTGCATAAGATTGCCTTTTCGATGTTATATAGATATAAAAATTACCTTTACAAGACATAAGATTTAATATTTTTTGGAGATTAATTAAGGAGTGTATGTTGATTTTAAATTTTAAAAAAAGTCATGTTTGTACATAAATCAAGATGACAATACTCAATCTTTATCATAAACAATATTGTTACCCTTGATTTGATTATGGACAAATAGATATATACTCAAAATAATAGTTACTGGATCTGGTCATATTTTAATTCAGCATAATCTATAATTGACAGAGCACTAAATAACTCAGGCACATAGGCACTGGTTTACGCGCAATAACACTCTCCAAAATAGACTTCTAATTGCTATTTTCTTCCTTATTAGGATCCTCTCCCATTTATTTAGCGGGACAGACCTCTCACTATATTTCGTTAATTGACATCCAATGGATGTCCCGGCACCTTCGATTCACATTTACAAAATTGATATCTCACCAGCGATTCTATTTCGTTCCTCTTTTATGGACGATTTTTTTTAATTCCTGTCCAATTAAAGATGGGTTAATTTTACCTAATATCTCAACCGTGGCTGTCTTTACACCACTCTCTCTAAGTCGTTATCTAATATCTACATCATCTTTAAATTAGTGCTCCTACAAATAGTTCTTATATCAGATGTAAACATTACGCAGTAATATAGTTATTTTTTGCGTAGTATAGATTTTTTGATTAAATTCTATACACGATATATTTTTAGTTTTATTGCTAATAGTAAAAGTAACAATAAAGAATAACAGTCTAAGGACAAGTATTTCAGTACTTGAAATATTTGACTGACATTTTATTCATGAAAAGCTTAATTTTCAAATAGTGTGTATATCCTCTGCAGATGCTCGAGAAATATAATTTGTTCATTTTTTTCTTTCGGCTGCGGCTTGTTTTGGTTGCATTTTCTAGTTTATTTCGTGTCTTGAGTCTGATAAAAGCGAAGAAACATTCTTAAGTTCGAATACGAGGCAATGTATCAATATATATTCAATATTGCTGTGTTCCTACACAATCAATATGTCTTTTTTGAAATCCAAATTACAACATCAAATGGCCAAATAATTAAAATAAACATCTTTTCGAAGAAGTATTATGTATTAATTTGATTGGATTTGTTTGCGTGATGGTGAAGAAGATTTTTAATCAATTCTGATTTGTTTGGATAATGAAGAGAAAAAAATAACAAAATGTATTATACAAATACATTGAACTTCCGTCTCATGAAATGTGTATCGGATGACTTAAAATTGATTTTAGGGGAAAATGCACGTTCCTTCTACGGTAGTGTAAAGGCTCAACGAGCAGTCAGACTATGGGGTACTTGACGATGGTGATGTCTTTACTAGGTCAACATTGAGTTTGTTTTGTGTCAAATAAGTCCCAGATGTTTAGCTCAATTAATGCAATTAAGTTTGATATGTACCAATAGTTTTTTTAATGTTCCGTGTTTTTAATTATATTAATTCCTCGAGAGTTGCTAAGTCAAAATAGGGTAATTTCTTTCCTTGCTTCTTGGATATTTTTGTTCAATTTATTAATTAATATAATATTTTATATATTACTTCTTTAGATAGATATATGAGATGTTTCAGCGACTCAGGTAGTCACATAGCATTGTTTTTTAGGGGAAGCCAGAAAAAGCAAACGAAAAAAAGGATAACCAATGCCTGATTCTTTTTACAATGCCAGCAATTCCTTTTTGGATTTGTAAACATCGGTATGGATTGAAAAAAATTGTAAAGGAAGTATTCCTTCCTTTGAAAATAAAATTGGGTTCAATATCTTAATTTTCTCATTACATTCATGTACTCAGTACTCCCTACATAACCTGCTTTGAACATATATTGAAAAGTTTTTGAATGACTGAGGGGAAATGTTGACGGATTTTGAATCGAAAAGTCAATTTTATGAATTGTTCTTTAGGACTTTGGTGAACTGTTGTAAAATATCCCTTTCAGATCTAAAAATGTCTAAATTTGGTGTATACACTCAGTGATCTCAGAACACTCGGATGTCCAAGACTGCAACAGTGGAATTAAACAGAAGATGACGAAAAAGAACATAGTACAAGTCGTAGAAATTAAAGCTGATTGTCATCGGGGATTATGCATAAAGGGAGAAAGGCTTTAATTCATGAAATTTTTGACAGGTTTTACAGGCTTGGAGTAGTTCTGCTTCCTGTGATTGTCTGAACTTCCGCTGTGTAATGATGAAACTATATACTTTTAGTTTTACTTTTTTTAAATAGAGAACAGGATCCAGGAGATAATTTTTTGCGTCATAAAATATGTCCTTTGTAGTGTAACATTTTTTAAGATGAAATAATAGTAGCCATCTACTGTGAGGCTACTGGTGATTAATGATTAATTTTATTCTGTATTCTCGCCTCTCATTGGTTGATTTCCAATAAAGGAACGCATAACATTTTGTATAATCTGGTTTGGTATTTATTACACACACCCTTGACGACCAGCTTAATCATCATATCCATGCAATATTATTTCCAGTCCTCGGAATCCATGGAAAATTCCAGATTTAATAAATGTACCTTCAACTTTAATCAATTACTCGTTCTTACCTCATGTAAACAAACATCATGGCTGCTAGATCTATGTATCAGTCATTACCTCCCCTCGCTTCAAATCACTTCCGTTACTACGGTTGTATTATTGCACGGTAAATTTGAACTTGTGCAAAAAGCAACACAATTTTACATCAAAAGTTGTTTAATTATTTTAAAATTAAATTATAAGGAATGACTTTAATTCTTGGCCATAATAATATCTGTGTCCTAAACAATTTTCAGTTTACGCTTTTTTATAATCCGCTTCGTTGGATTATAAAGCGTAAATTCTGATTTTAAATTTTTTTTTGTGAACAAGATTGATTTTGGACTCGATAATATGGCCAAGAATTAGAGTCATTCCTTAATTAATGATGAAAGCCTCAAGACACGTTCCTCAAATATCTGGTTTGTATCTCTTCCTAATATATCAAAATTATTCTCAGTTGTGTCTCTCTTGTGATCATTTATTATTATCATCATTAATAATTTCAAAATGTTATTTAAAAAAAAAATAATAAAAAATCTCAAAAAATTGAAACATTATCTTCCACCAATGAAAGGTAAGGTACCTTAGTTTTTGTGAAGAAATTTGTAAAGGTAGCATTACTTCAATGACAAAGTCTTGGGGAATTTTCCTTAGTCAAAGAGCAAGAGCCACTTTGGGTTTTATTTGGCCCTGAGAATTTCTGAAAAATCAAAACCGCTCAGTTTAGGTATTGGTGACTACGTATCTGTTAATCATGACGTAATTTCCCCTCTAGTCAATGCATTATGACGTCATAAAATGCGTCATTTTCCTTGTATGCCAGATAGGTATACATTGTACATAGACGGGAAAATGTGCTGTGTGCATTAATTGCAGCAGATGTAGAAATTTAGCAGTTGTTAAAGACTGGTTCCGCCTTGATGACAATGAAGAAGGAGGAGGACAAATGGGGGAAAACAAATGCATATGTGAAAAACAAATGCAATCCAAAGTTGACCAAAGAATAATGTATCTATTGTTCCTGGATAATAATATCTGTGTCCTTAATTAATTTTTTTTACTGAAAAGAGGGACTTATTAAAATTGAAATTCAAATATTGCCAAGTTGTGTTGTGAACTTAAAGCTCCTTTATATTCTTTTTACGGGATTTTACAAATTTTTTTGTGAACAAAGAGATTATTTTGGAATTGATGTGAGATGACGTTTGAAAGAAGATAGTGTTTGCAAATTGAAATTTCATTTGCCTCGTTATGTTAAATGCTTTAGATTTGACGGCGTGCCGAGTCCAGAGTCAATCATAGATGCAAGTGATACAGAGAATTTGTGTGGAGTATATTCGACATTTTAATACATTTTTATACATAAATGTGAAAGCAAGACGTATTATTATACACTGGATATGAAAAATATTGTTTTATGTTTCAATTCTGTAAACTTTAATTGGCAAATGTTTTTGTTTAATCACTATTATAATATTGAAACATTAGAGTAGCAGAATTTGTTAGAGACTAACAAATAAATTGTACAGTTTATCACATTTCCTTTGTCTCTTTGTCAACATAAGCTAGTTATTTTTTTGTCTAGATGGATTAATTTTGAATGGAAATCATTATTCATTTAGGATATGTTGGGCCTCTGTTGGCCCTACGTTGAAAAAATAACTGTCCGTAAAAAATAATGGACCATTGTTTGACCAACACAGGTACCAGACAATGGACCCTTATTGATCCACCAATGGTATGTTGGTTAACGGGCGTTGTGCCATTGTTGGGCCAACACTAAAAGTATACATTGGGCCAATGCTGGGGCTTTGTTGATACAATCACTGTTGGTAATTGATGTTGGGCCATTGTTAGGCCAACATTAACCAAATGCAGTAATAAAATGGACTAACGTTGGGCCAACATGTTGGGCTAACAAAAGGCCGATGAGCAAACTTGCATCGGGCCAACGTTAGGTTGCCAACGTTGGACAACGCAGTCAACAACTGTGCGCCAACGTTGGCCCAACATAGTCATGCTAACTGGGATCCTGTAAATTCCCTTGAAATGATCTTAAGTTGAAGTATTTTTTCAATATTTCATATAGAGCACAACCTCTGAACCAAAATATGCAAATACATAATGAAAGATCTGTTTCTGGAGATCAAAAAATGTTTTATTTTTGGATCGTGGACTGTGCTTAATTTTAATTCTTTGCTGAAGGTAGTTTTCTGCAAATTTCAAGAACATTGCAATTTCTCAAAGCCTGTTTTCCAATATCTGGATCCTTAAAAAGAAATTTTATATTTATATTGCATCACAATTGTTTTTGTTTCTGCAAATTTATAGATAAATTCCTATGCAAATTACGTCACTTCCGTTTTGCGCAGGATTAACTCACTCACCCACAAACCAACGCATACGATTGTGTTTCTATATCCCTCCAACCCCGTTGCGATGAGATAATAAGTCTGGTTTTGATATCAGTAATTTGTTCAAAATCTTCCTGATAGTTTAATGTAACAATTTGCAATGCATGTTTTTGAACACGAACTAAACAAACAGATGACACACTTTCTAAGATCAGGAAATGGCCTTGCTATTACAACATTGGATGTTTCGCACACACAGAGTTTCCGCAATAAAAAAAATCCATAACGGTTAACATTTTGAATGAATTGACTGTGTTTATTAATTCAGTGTATTATTCATTGATAGCTACAACATCCCTGTATGACCATAAATAGCAGAGCCCTAAAGAAGAACTTTAAAATTACTTATATAAACCCTTTTCTGTTACATATCCGTCTATCCGGTATCCCTCTATCTATGGGTAACTAATTTGTTATTTTGTGTAAATTTATATGGTTTATCTAAAAAAATCTATAAACAATACAAAGCTGTGAACAGGCCAGGCATAAAAACAGACCCCTGGAAATCCCAGAGGATGGCTTGGGTGCCTACGGGGAGTTAGCATACCCTGTTCCCCGATCAAACCTACCATGAACCCCAAAATTGTTTAAGGTTACATTGCGTAGTATTATAAAGCAAAGGCCTAACAAGTCGAAATTCGACCCATCGAAAGAGTATCTTTGCTAAAAAGGCCATTTAAAGACCAAAAGATTTACGAAATACTGACTTTAAACAAGGTTGTCAAAATCTCTTTAATAATAACATATGTGTGAGTAACATTCCTGGCTTTAAAATTAATCGTACTCACAGCAAGCTCCTTTTTTAGTTGAGAGAAATAAACATCATAACCAGGTGACAGTGGTATATTACTACAATTCACTAGAATATGAAAATTTGACGATGGTAAAGTTGAAGATGAATTCTTCGGTTTGTCATACAATTCAGTTGTAAAATAGCTCTTTATTGTCTACAGCAAGTAAAATATCAAACTATGAAACACTCTGTAGAGTCTTTTATTTCAAGGTTTCATTGTCAATATATCAAAATACTAGTATGGCTTTTTCTTCTTTTCATGTTGAAGTTTTGAAATAAATTCTGCATATATATAAAAAAATATATATATATATATATATATATATATATATATATATATATATATATATATATATATATATATATATATATATAGATATATATATTAAATTTTCGCATCCATTTATTATGAACTTCAGAGTACTCATTTTTACAATCAGAATGACTTTTAAAAAAAATTATTTTGTTAATGACAAAAAACAAATGTGAATATTTTTAGGTCCCTTTTTATTTAAGAAGCAGTTGTCTATGATATCAAAATGTCTAGATTTAAATTGCTGTATAAATTGGTGTTTAAAGTGTAGAAAAGTTGTTATATTGTGTAGATATTATAGACTTTTGAAAAATTTGGTGAGTTTAATGTTTCTAAAAGTTGCTTTTAGAGTTTATGAGGATCCACACAAAATTTACATAATTTCTGGAATATACTGAAGTACAATACGTCTGATGTTTCTCTCTTACAGCTGGAACAGACCGAAGTCAAAATTTTGATTTTTAATATATTGGGCTTTATTTAATGTATTTGCTTAAAGGTGTAAAATTTCAATTCAAATATATAATAATAATTTTTTTCAATGTCAAAATTATTTCAAAAGTTTAATAGTTTGAAATTTTGACTTTAGTCTGTTCTCAGTTTATGGCCTTTTAAGGGATGGGCTTGGTAAGTATTTGCTAGATGCAGCATTTTATTTTTATTATTTTCAGCGTACATGTAACATGGAAAGAAACAGCAATACATGCATTTAATGTGAACACTCGAGTAAAACATTAATGTGAACGCTCGAGTAAAACATTATCCCCTGTTGAGGTATTTAAGGTAAATGTGCATTTCAAAAGGATGTACCATTGTGGATAGTATTTTTGGTTATTGTAACATTTCGCTCCGTTCAAATGCAGTTTAGGTAATTGCAAGTAAAAAAAACTAAAGCTGCTGATAGATAAAGTTCTGTTTCTTCTAATCCATAACTATTTACAAAGGCTTATAAGCTTGATTTGACCAATTCTTCTGATTCTGCATCTTCCTTTTTTAAGCAGGAATATTTAATTTTATACATTACTGGATCATCGTTCCGGTAAATTTATACAATTTCATATAACATTTCAACTGACAAGCAATAATACACGTGCCAACTGCGCCTTGAAAAAGATTACCATTTCTATCAATAATTTGTGCTGGATGCTAAAAATAAACCGGAAAAACTGTCTCCTTCGGGTCCCCAGACACTTTTACTTCCTAATCAAAAATAGTCTTAATTCCAATTTTGGATCTAACTCTAGAGGCAGCTAGGTAATAAATCTTACAGAAGCACTTTAAGAGTACGTTTCTGTCTTGGCAACCCTAAGTTTACGTTTTTGGACGGATTTACTGTTATTGCATTCGTCTGTAACACTTTGTCGGATATTACGAAACCAGAAAACAGAAGAAAAAAAATCTGTCGACCTTAGGACTTACATAGATCAGGACTTGTTCTAAAGCGTAGTCTCAGTTCCTAAGACGAACCACCAGCGCCAGGAAACCATTACAGAGTCATCAAGCCGTCTTTATATTCAAATATAATTCCTAATCCCTCTAGCACCTCCATTTTTATTACACGTTTTTAAGATGCATATCATTTTATATGCATTGCGTCGCTTTACAAAAGAGGCCCGCAAGACAACTTTACATCTAATTGTAGTCAGATGACAAGAATCAGAAACCTAACGGACAATATAAAAACAAAAAATAATCTTTATGAACATGCATCTTGGTAATGTATGCTATTGGATTGGTGGGAGTTTGAATTTTTTTTTTATTGGGTTCCATTTTCATATATATGGCCACGATACCTTAATTTTACCCTTATAAAGAATTTACAGTTTAAAATGTATTAAAATACATATTTATTATCTTTTTTCTCGTAATTTATTGAACCATACATTAAGACTCTAAGAAAATAAATGTCATTGTTCGCAAAAACAATATGAATAAGAAACAATAAGGAAAGCATCCGCATGGTAAAGAAATCATTAACAGGGCCGATAAACTAAAACGGTTCTGGCTAATACATGCCTCGTATATCAATGATCAGGAGAGCATGATGAAGACGAAGACAACGGACAGTGATTAAGACGAAGAAAACGGACAGTGAACCCAGGGTGATGACTTGTTTTCTAATTAGAGGATAATACGTATACAAGTCAATGTCTGTATCTGTGTTCATGTCTAATTAAAATATTGTTTTTACAGGTTTTGGTTTATTAGTTATATCAAATAACTATATTATATAGCAACATAATGAATTTTATATTTTACAAAATTATTGGAAATCTTTTTGGGTCACACATATATATATATATATATATATATACCGTCAAATTATTTACAACGCAACACCTAAATTTTGTGGTGAAAATTATATACATATGTCATTGCTAAATAATTCTCCAAAAAGTAGATTTCTTTTAATTTTTTATGCCAAATCAGTTATTTAACTTGCACTGTTATTTTACTCTTTACACACTTGCCGGA